GGGAAAATGATGTCTCAAAGAGCAATGTAAACGTGCTGCACCGTATAACAACAATATAGGAGTGGGAAAGCCACGTTTTTTATTGCGTGACTTCATTTTGACATCTTAAGGATTTTTAAAATTTATATGAGTCTGATGTTGAGGTGCTTTCTGTATGTTATTGACGGTTAGAAGTTGCAGGGAGCGCTCTCTTGAACTTGACTCTATCTAGTATACCAGACTTAAATAACAAGTTATAATGATACTTCTTGGGTCTCCACAACGCTTTAGTTTTCACAACGCTCCCACAACACTTCCTATCCGGGTGTCTCTCTCTGAATCGTTGGAGGGGGGGGGGGGGGTGAGGGGATCCTGAGCCGCTAAGATTGACTTAACCCAAAATAAAAACATTATTTCTCTCAGGGTTTTGGTCACTAACTTGCGTCCATGATGTTGGGCCAAAAAACAACTTTTAAATATTTCGTACATTCAAAAATTGTTTCGCTGTGGAGAACCGACCTCCTAGTTCAAGGCGACGTGAGCACGTTTTGGTTTAGAACTAAGAATGGGATGCAATCGGCATAATTTTTAGACATTCGAGCCCTTGTGATCAACAGAAACAAGCCTCGTGCATTGGCCACTCGAGGTGCTAAAAGTTTTTTTAGACTGGCGAAGTCTGAGATATGGCGTGGACAGCCTGCAGAAGGTTTAAAAGTACAACGCTACGGTGTACCTATGAACAGAAGTAAAAATCAACTTGCACGACTTTTTTAATGGCCATGTCGATAACTGGAGTCCATTTGTTCCCTTCCTACGCTTCCCTTTACTGCCAGTCGTCTTTGGTTTCCGTTTCCGTGGGAATGGATATGGCGGGTGCCCCATCGAGTGAAGTGTCCCGCCGAGTGAAGTGTCCCGCCGAGTGAAGTGTCCCGCCGAGTGAGGGTCCCGCCGAGTGAAGTGTCCCGCCGAGTGAAGTGTCCCGCCGAGTGAGGTGTCCCGCCGAGTGAAGTGTCCGCCGAGTGAGGTGTCCCGCCGAGTGAGGTGTCCCGCCGAGTGAGGTGTCCCGCCGAGTGAAGTATCCCACCGAGTGAAGTGTCCCGCCGAGTGAGGTGTCCCGCCGAATGAAGTGTCCCGCCGAGTGAGGTGTCCCGCTGACCTAGGCGTCCCGCCGAGTGAAGCATCCCGCCGAGTGAGGTGTCCCGCTGACCTAGGCGTCCCGCCGAGTGAGGTGGTCCTGCCGAGTGAGGTGTCCCGCTGCGTGAGATGTCCCGCCGAGTGAGGTGTCCCGTCGAGTGAGGTGTCCCGCCGAGTGAGGTTGTCCCGCCGAGTGAGGTGTCCCGCCGAGTGAGGTGTCCCGCCGAGTGAAGTGTCCCGCCGAGTGAGGTGTCCCGCTGACCTAGGCGTCCCGCCGAGTGAAGTATCCCACCGAGTGAAGTGTCCCGCCGAGTGAGGTGTCCCGCCGAGTGAAGTGTCCCGCCGAGTGAGGTGTCCCGCTGACCTAGGCGTCCCGCCGAGTGAGGTGTCCCCTGACCTAGGCGTCCCGCCGAGTGAGGTGTCCCGCTGACCTAGGCGTCCCGCCGAGTGAGGTGTCCTGCCGAGTGAGGTGTCCCGCCGAAAGTGTCCCGCCGAGTGAGGTGTCCCCTGACCTAGGCGTCCCGCCGAGTGGGGTGTCCCGCTGACCTAGGCGTCCCGCCGAGTGAGGTGTCCTGCCGAGTGAGGTGTCCCGCTGCGTGAGATGTCCCGCCGAGTGAGGTGTCCCGCCGAGTGAGGTGTCCCGCCGAGTGAGGTGTCCCGCCGAGTGAGGTGTCCCGCCGAGTGAGGTGTCCCGCCGAGTGAGGTGTCCCGCCGAGTGAGGTGTCCCGCTGACCTAGGCGTCCCGCCGAGTGAAGTATCCCACCGAGTGAAGTGTCCCGCCGAGTGAGGTGTCCCGCCCGAGTGAAGTGTTCCCGCCGAGTGAGGGGTCCCGCTGACCTAGGCGTCCCGCCGAGTGAGGTGGTCCCGCTGACCTAGGCGTCCCGCCGAGTGAGGTGTCCCGCTGACCTAGGCGTCCCGCCGAGTGAGGTGTCCCGCCGAGTGAGGTGTCCCGCCGAGTGAAGTGTCCCGCCGAGTGAGGTGTCCCGCTGACCTAGGCGGTCCCGCCGTAGTGAGGTGTCCCGCTGACCTAGGCGTCCCGCCGGAGTGAGGTGTCCTGCCGATTGAGGTGTCCCGCCGAGTGAGGTGTCCCGCTGCGTGAGATGTCCCCGCCGAAGTGAGGTGTCTCGCTGACCTAGGCGTCCTGCCAAGTGAGGTGTCCCGCCGAGTGAAGTTTCCCGCCGAGTGAGGTGTCCCGCCGAGTGAGGTGTCCCGCCGGAGTGAGGTGTCCCGCCAAGTGAGGTGTCCCGCCGAGTGAGGTGTCCCACCGAGTGAGGTGTCCCGCCAAGTGAGGTGTCCCGCCGAGTGGATGTTTCCCGCCAAGTGAGGTGTCCCGCCGAGTGAGGTGTCCCACCGGTGAGGTGTCCCGCCAAGTGAGGTGTCCCGCCGAGTGATGTGTCCCGCCAAGTGAGGTGTCCCGCCGAATGAAGTGTCCCGCCGCGTGAAGTGTCCCACCGTGTGAAGTGTCCCGCCGAGTGAGGTGTCCCGCCGAGTGAGGTGTCCCGCTGAGTAAGGTGTACCGATTTTATTCAAGTTCTCGATTGAGCGATACATTGGGTGATCAAACAAGTGAGAGAGGGGTAACATGAACATGCTGTTTCTATGTAGAAGCATCGTTAATTCAATGCGGTCAAATAAGACGTTAACTCACTTCAGCTCAATAGTGCCGAGCGTGTTTTTCACCCAATCAAGACTGCGGTAGAATTCAAATAACCATTCATAGGCAAAACGTGATAGTAAGCAATAGCAACAATCAGTCATCTCACATGAGTGAGATGTCCCGATTTCTCGACTGATCTCGATCGACACCGCGCACGGCACGCATTTACTGGACTGGTTCGAAAATCATTTCGCTGAAATGTACATCAGTTTAAGACTGTCGTGCTGTCGCTTCTCACTCTTCGACCTGTCGCCCTTGGATTTCGTGATGTGGGGTGACCAGAACCATGTCCACGTGGACAGGTCAGAGACTCTTCAGAAGTGCGAAGCGATCTTCAGACTTACGATGGGACGCATCAACGTGGACAATCGATCCGACAATCGACCACCCTTAGCGGTTCAGCTGTCGCACATTCCAGACCGTCAGAGGCCCATCTGGAGCATCTCTGCATTGGGGGGGGGGGGGGGGGGGGCATTCGGAGGAGAAATGGGCGGGGAATGAGGGCTCAAGTCAACGGTCGTGGACTCCCCCCCCCCCCTCCTGCCCTCCGAAAGAGCGACGTCCCTTCTTTCTGCAGTGGGCGGAATATGCATTTTCTAGGCGAAAATGTCTCAAGGTTCCATATAAATGAACGGCGCCGTGAGGGCAACAAGACTAGAATCAGAAAGCCACTATTTTTCATTGCGTGAAGTGCGAGCATGGCCAATCGTCACAGCGTGGAGCACGGACAATAGTCGTAATCTAAAGTAAAAGATGCCGCTGGTCTCGGATATGGTAGGTATTACCTGATGCGCGAAAAAAGTACTGAGGGGCGCTTTTAACGGGGTTGCCCGCATGTGGCCGCTGTCCCTTCCAGAGTGGGTGTACGGCTTTGTGAACCACCACCATCTCCTCATTGTTTGGGGGTGTATTTGCCAGCCATTTGCATTCCTGAGGGCAAGAGAAGGGTCTTGCACTCACCACTATTTATATTTGTGGAGGCATGGGCTCGTACAGCCTAGACGTGGACAACTTTGACAAGCTTGAACAACATGTAGATCACATTTCTGTCCATTGTTTATTCCTCAGGGTGTGGAGACCAATCTGCTAGTCACCGTTGCTCCCCAGGGAGAGATCGCCCTGCTGGCCACGGTCTCTGCCTCAGTGTGTGGAGATTGATCTGCTGACCACAGTCTCTCCTCAGGGTGTGGAGATTGCTCTGCTGACCACAGTCTCTCCCTCAGGGTGTGGAGATTGCTCTGCTGACCACAGCTCTGCCTCAGGGTGTGGAGATTGCTCTGCTGACCACAGCTCTCCCTCAGGGTGTGGAGATTGCTCTGCTGACCACAGTCTCTCCTCAGGGTGTGGAGATTGCTCTGCTGACCCACAGCCTCTGCCTCAGGGTGTGGAGATTGCTCTGCTGACCACAGCCTCTGCCTCAGGGTGTGGAGATTGCTCTGCTGACCACATCTCTCCCTCCAGTGTGTGGAGATTGCTCTGCTGACCACAGTCTCTCCCTCAGGTGTGAATGCTCTGCTGACCACAGCCTCTGCCTCAGGGTGTGGAGATTGCTCTGCTGACCACAGTCCTCCCTCATGTGTGGAGATTGCTCTGCTGACCACTTCTTCTCCCCAGGGTGAGGGATTGCTCTGCTGACCACAATCCTCTGCCTCAGGGTGTGGAGATTGCTCTGCTGACCACAGTCTCTCCCTCATGTGTGGAGATTGCTCTGTCTGAACCAGTCCTCTCTCTCAGGGTGTGGAGATTGCTCTGCTTGACCACAGCCCTCTGCTCGGGTGTGGAGATTGCTCTGCTGACCACAGCCTCTGCCTCAGGGTGTGGAGATTGCTCTGCTGACCAAGTCTCTGCTCAGGGTGTGGAGAATTGGCTTGCCGTGCTGGCACGTGGAGATGGCGGGCGCCGTCCCAAGTCCCGGCCCATCGGCGCCACTCATTTTATACGTGGCGTACGCCATCGGCCAGATCCTCCTGCTCACGCCTGCAGGCGATGCTGTTTCGCCTCGTGGTGGGAAGCTGCAGCTGGCCATTCAGCGGTGGGAGAGCATCCTGCTTCATCCCTTTCTCATGGTCAGGGGCCCAGGGAGAGGGAGAGAGGGAGGGGGAGAAGGGGAAGAAGAAGAAGAGAGAGAGAGAGGAAGAGAGAGAGAGAGCGAGGGAAAGCAAGAGAGAGGGAGAGGGAGAGAGAGAGAGAGGAGTGAGACCAGAAGGAAGATGCAAAGTCAGGGAGAACAAGAAACAGAAGTGAGTGCGCAGTTAACGAGGAAAGAATTGACTTGAAAATGGATGCCAGCTAACTAACAGATGATGCAAATGAGACGTACACCGCAAATGCCGGTCGTCCAGCTAACATAGACAACATCCTGTTATGCAAAGACTAGTGCAGCTGCTCGACTGTGTCGCGCTCTAATCTTCCCTTCAGCACCAGCATCCTGGGTGATGACACTGTCAGTATCTCAGAATTAGCCGACTTGAAAAGTGATTATAACCTACTGGCGTCATTAAGCGCGGATCAGAAGCTTGAGATGGCTCGCTGCACCACGCTGGCGGCGTCCGTTCTAAGTTATGTAACTCCTGCAATCACCCCTTGCCCTCGACACAGCGCTTCAAAGAGACCACAGACAGCATCAACTGAGCTGTTTTGGGAACAGCGAACGAGGATAAACGCCATGGTAACCTTGGAGAGCGTCTCCATTGTCACGAGATCTGGGGATCACGCGAAACGGTAGCTTTTGTCCATGTTGTGAGCCACAGCTTCTTAGAAGCTGCCGACCAGTCAGCGCTTTCCAGTTGGTAGGCCAGATGCGATCTCGCTTTGACAGCGTGATGGACCGTTTTTCCTTGTCAGATCTAACTTTGTGCTGAGGTTATGTCATTGCGGATGCATGTTCGTCCATGACTAAACCAGCTCTAAAGTTTCGACAGGTGCTAACCAGCTGTCTGTCTTTTCGTGTCTTTCTTTTTTGTTGTTACCAAATCAGTCGGGGGTGGTCGCTTCCCCGTTCAAGCCGTTAGTTCTGAATTTTTTATAAGCTATGTCACCTTCAAGCATCGAGGGGAGTCTCGATTCTTGGCCTTGGGGACAGCATTGCGGTGGTAGCTGAGGAATTGCTTCCTCTGTGACGAAATGCACATTGTGAGCCTTCGTCTGGCAAAAGCGCCATCCATTTGCCAAAGTGGGGAGCCGAGCGCGTTCGGGGGCGCCATATGCAGTTAATCGCGAGATGTTTCACTTAGAGCCTCGAAATGGCTCACGGGCGCTGCTCTCCAGGTGGAACGCTGCCATGGCAACATAAGGCTTGTCTGAGCGGGAATGCCAAAACTCCAGCTGTCTTCCGCTGACGGTCGTTGGGGGCGTCGTGCTTCACGAATCAGGATGCGGTCTGCTCTTTTGAGGTGGCACCCTGTTGCTAGGCATGGAATCAAGCTGATGGCTGTTCATAAAGATGTATCGCCTCTAACTCCCACCCAGTGGCTCTCGGGTGCAGATTTCCGGTGCTGGAGTCAGTGCAGTCTTTGCTTGAGAACCTCATGATTATCGCTAGACTCAATGTTTGTGAGTATTTGTTCCAGGTTCCCGGTGGCTGAGCCGATGCAGTGCATGGCGCCGTAAACCCAGTGATCCTGACTCCCGATTGAGGGCTCCTGTTGGCAGAGTCATCCAGCACCTTTTCCTGTTGAGTCAGTGACTCAGATTCCGCGATATACGGTTTTATGTTGTATGCCGGGGACGGCTCAGTGCCCTGTTCTACAGACTCGACGACTCTGACTCTGATTCTTAGTTCCCTGGCGTCTACCGCGATCCGGTGCTCGGCTACATGGCTCAGTGACTAAGTATCCGTCACGCTCGGCGGCAGGGTCTTTGTCACAAATCCCAGCCAGTGTTTGGTCCTTTTGACTCAAGATGTTTGACTCAGGGGCCCCAGAAACATGCTTCCGGTCCGATCCGGTCAAGCGCCTAGTCCTGCTGACTGGTGACTCTGACTCGATGACTCTCGGTCGCAGGTTCCTGGTGCCGGAGTCGATCCACTGGCTGGTGTCGATGCGGCGGCATGGCGAGGCTGAGAAGCTCATTCGTCTGGGCTGCCGACTCAACGGCATCATCCTGCCCAGCGACTTCCAGCTGGACAAGCCGGGCCGCGACGACGAAGAGGGCAGCGACGACGAGGCCACAGGTGTGTGCCGGTGAAGAGGATCGGGGGCGTGATGAAGAGCAATGGCAGAAGGGGGCGCTGTTCTCCTCCCCCTTCTCCTTCCTCTCCTCCTCCCTGTTTTTCCTCTCTTCCTCCCTCTTCTCTTCCCTCTTCTCCTTCCTCTTCTCTTTCCCCTCCTCTCCCTCCTTCTTCTTTTCATCCTCTCTTCACCTCTCTCTGCTCCACCCTCTTCTTCTCCTTTTCTTCCTCCACAAGTTGGCTGTTAGAGCCTCAGATCGGCGTGCGTCCCTGAGCTTTGAGCTCCTTAAGCCAATGCTACAAGCCTTTCCCATGCTGCATTCACGCTTCACACTTGCGTGGACTATATATGAGTGGACTGTATATGAGTGGACAGTATATGAGTGGACTGTTTATGAGTGGGCTGTATAATGAGTGCGCTGTATATGAGTGCGCTGTATATGAATGGACTGCATATGAGTGCGCTGTATATGAGTGTGCTGTATTTGGGTGGGCTGTATATGAGTGGGCTGTATATGAGTATGCTTTACGAGTGGCATCGCGGCCGTGCCGTACCACGGTACCCCTCAGCGTTCGCTCCACACATGAACTCGACTGAGCTTTACCGATGCATTCTACTCACGAATACGGCTCGCAAGATGGAGTAGAATTAGCGTGTATCTGGTGCAAAAACTTACACGGCCCACCACAAATGTGTGTGGTCCTGTAGTTCGCTGCCATAGACAGAGGCCAGGGTTCGGGGTCCCTACCCCGGTCCTGTAGTTCGCTGTCATAGACAGAGGCCAGGGTTCGGGAGTCCCCTGCCCGGACGCAGCCAAGTTTAGCCAATCCGAGCCGTATGTGAAGAGAGGACAAAATGCAGATACACTTACGTCCATAGATATGTGACGCGGTGAAAAGACAAAGAGTGCTGTCGTGACGGCGGTACAGCAGCTGGCACGGGTGACGTCCGGCGCCACATTAGAGGAGGACCGGTCCTGGAAGTCCCGCAGTGGGCCACGTTCGCACTCGCTACCAAACGGTCGCTGTTCGGGTCCTGCACGAGGTTCTGACTGTGCTCTCACAGCGAAGGCGGAAATAGGCAAACAAACAACCTGGCCGCGGTGAATGCCTCCAGAGTCATCAAACGCGCTCCGCAGAAAATTCCACATCGATTTGCAACACCTGAGCCAACTGCACACTCAGATCAGCTCACATTCAGACAAGGGAGGAGGCTTCCGTCCAGGAAAACAGGAAGGATTGTGCCTTGACACTGCTTCGTTTGAAGTTGAGTGCTTTGACAGTTTACTGTTGCCAGCTTCCAGCAGTTTTAAACCAGTTTCCAAGTTTAAACACGCGCGCGAATGGCCGGTTCGATACCCTTCGCTCGGGTGGGGGTCAATTTGACTCCCTGAGATCTCAGGAACTAAGCAAGCTGGAAATACCGAATTCACAGGGTGTGTTAACCTGTACGTGAATTCACTCAAGTCAAAGTTTGAGGTTCTTAGGTCATGACCTGTGGCCCAAATCTGGTCAAACAAGGTCAAATTTAAAATTGGTCTCCAAATGGCTCCAAGAACCTAAATGGCTGTTCTAATCAGTGATCATTGAAGGTCAGTGATCTTGTTTGACCTTTTGAAGGTCGTGGTGATCAAAACCATACAAGACTGCTTTGAGTTTTTTAACTGAATAAGCGACAAAGATTACACTAGGGAGTATCTTCTCAAGAACAAAATAATGACCTGGGTAATTTTAGGTCAGTGACCTATTCTGACCTTTAAGAAGTCTATGAGAGATGCATAATGCGGTTTTTGTTGTCAGTAAATTTGAAATGGGCGCCAGAAACTACCCCATACAGCAGGCCCTAGAGTAATAAAACAGGTTGGTTTTGACCCTGGTCTAGCTTTCATACCTGACCCTCAGCCAATGTAATTTCTTCATTCAATTGATGTGTTGCCTATGGAAGTATCTCAGAGGTATATGGCTTCGCCCAACAGTCCGTTGTTGGATCAGATTGAACGATTCCCTAGAAAGTGCCTGCGCTGAAATCATGGCCTGACTTTCATCTGACATAGGTCAGTGATCGTACATGGTACATCTAAATATTCAATGCCGGACGATCCGCTATTCAATTGCTTACAGCTGTGCAGAATTTTACGTGGCTTCGCCCCGCCGTTCGGAAACCATTCTGGAAAAAACCTTCGGGGGGGGGGGGTGAATGTGACCCTAACCCGAGCGCGTGCCAAGGACACAAGTCTCACGCGAATGAGCGGCACTCGAGGGCATTCAACCAAGCTCCGGGCTCCATCCATGAACACAATATCCACTCACCGTCTGGCGTTCGGGATCGGGAAGCGCAGTTCAATTACAATGCAAGTTTGGCGGCCCTCGTAAGATACCCGTCAAACCGTACATTTCGCGACGAGTAAGAAAGTGCAGTACAATGTAAAGCTATAGCCAACTGGATATGCCCACTAGTTTAAGCTCATTCATATGTGAAAGGCAAACCAGGTCACAATCTTTTGAGTGCTTCGGTCTGATGTTTTGCCGTCATAATATTGAACATTTCAGAGATACAGAAATAACGGAATGAAACTATTCAGAACTAACAGCGCAGGGCCGTGAGAGCACTGCATTGCCCTAAAGCATGGCATACAGAAGCCTTCGTGAAGAGGCAAATTGAAAAACTCCTGAGGATGTTGTCTGGGGCACGGTCCTGCGGTCCGCGCCGCCGCTGCTGTGAGGATCGCTGCACCACCGGACGTTCTGGAGCCCCCAAGGGCCGACTCAGCGGAAAATCGCCCGTGGGCGCGGCGCGTCATGCACGAGCCACCTGAGGCCCCACCCCCTTCCGGGCCGGGGAAGGGGGGGGGGGGGGGCGCTGCTGGAGGACTGGAGATCGACGGAGGGCAGCCTCTACGGCAGACGCGCGCGGCCATGTGAGGAATGACGCCATGTGCGAGAAACACGTCTGAAAAACACGGCTGAAAACACGGCTGAGAAACACGGCTGAAAAACACGGCTGAAAAACACGGCTGCTTGCATGGAAGCTGGAGCTGACGGTTAAGGCGGCCGTCGAGTGCTGGAGCCGATTTGATTCGTGGATTTTGCGAGGGATGCCCCGAGAAGGGGATCTCAAGCATCCTTTGTTTCCGAAACCGGTGCTTTATTATCTGGGGTAAGTAATGGGCTTCTGGGGCATTCTGACGTCCTCGAACCACCTGACTGCATCATGATAATCTGGCCTCACGACATGAATGCACTCATGCTTTAGTTGATCTCACGCTTGCGTTTGTATGCAATGTCGTGTATTTCGGTCGTTTGTGATGTATATAGCATCTGCGCACAACGGGGTGGGTTATACACACACACATATATATATATATATATATATATATATATATATATATATATATATATATATATATATACCGAAGTGAGCTGTATAAGAGTTGATTGCATAGTTTCGCGACAACACATTTCGCATATTCTTCACGAATGTCCCTTGGTTTTCACACATGCGCTAAGTGAAGCTCGTTTTGTGGCCGTTGCACGCATTGTGGTCCACGTAGTGGTCCAGTGTGGGACTGGAGGACAGTTTGGACTAGGGCTTTCGAACCGGGGTAATCGGTGGGGAACACTTGACACTTGACACAGGCACAGTGCCGTGTTGTGCTGTGCCGTAGAAAAATAACAATTTTTAAAGCTGTGTTTCGGAACATTACCAATGCGTAAGATATTGTTTTGCTGCTACAGTTTACGACAGTTTACAGCTGCTACAGTGCACGACAGTTTCGTGACCGCTGTCTGTTTTCTAATGATGACTTCCAGGTCATTCATACGACTTTCTAACCGCTCCCTATTTCTCACAGAATGAATGACCAGGTCTGGAGGTTTTTCTGCGGCCGAAGCAGGGTCAATATAAATCACATTTAGCGACCTCAATAAATAATTGGCTGGATTAAGCTAGTTCTTACATGCCTCGCATTCTGGACCGTCTTCGTCATCTCACAATCTTTACCTACGTACTTTTTTGTCTCCATCACTGCAAGTTAGTACCACGGCTCAACTGTTTCCACCGTTTTCTGTTCCCAGCCTTGCCGAATGCTTTTTCTCTGCCTTGACTCACGTCCTTGTTCCTTTTGCTGGCTTCGGCGCAATTGTAACATTTACCGTTGCATCATTGCGGACGATATTGCCGGTTATCTTGTCTTTGTCGGAATCAACCCTCCCCATTCGTTTAAATATATGTGACGTATCTACTAACCTTTTGAGGCTCTTTTTTGTTTTTGTTTTGTCCCAAAACCCTCCAGGGTCCAAAGAACTCCGCTGGAGGTGTGCGGGTCCCGTCCCAGACCAAGAACTCCAATTCTTTTGTCATTTGAGACACTCGTAGGGCTTTTAATATGAAACAGGAAATTGACCCACGGAGACCACTAAGCGCCGAGGAGGGGTCCATTTGACTGGGGGCACCTCTATAATTCCATTTGGTCTCTCCTGCTTCGACATCGGTCTATGGGAGGGATGCTGGGCGTGCAGTGCTGTGGGACAGAGTACGTACGGGCTCTGCAGAGAGCGTGTTGGGGTGCGCGACTCTCCAAGAAATGTGCGCTGGCAACCGGCGGAGCAAAGTCAAACTGGCCCATGGGCACGTGCTGGTGTTTTGACCGACTGACAGAGAAAGGTCATCTGGCAACTGGCCAATCGGCGTCAACGTGACCTATGACTTATGAGGCCGTGACGGAGCACGGTGCAGCACGGGACACCCCCCCCCCCCCCCACAGTCCTGGCTGGCGAGGTCAGGGAAAGTTATCCCATGAACTGGATCAGCTTATTCGGGGTGGTGGGATTTTGGAGCACGCAATGAGCTCCGCCCAGCACCAGCTATGGATGCAAAACCATTCATGCAAAGCACTCGTTTTTCCAGTCATTCAAGCCTTAATTTACTTTGGTTTATTGCTTTCTTGAATTGGGAAATGGAGCAGGGCAAGGCAGAGCAGAGCAAAATTCCGAATGAGCAAGGAAGCAGCGACCACAGGGAAACAATGGATGAAACGGCCCGCTTCGATTAAACAGGGCAAGATCCTAATGCCGCCCTGTGGTAGGAGTTTGGCTACTGTACTGATTTGAAACACGTCGATACAAAAGCCAATGGGCATTACTTCTTTCGTGCCAACTATACCGGACCAGCCATAGCGTGTGACGCTAGGGATAAACAAACATACAGATAGGGGCGGTTCCAGGAGTAAGATAGGGGAGGGGCAACAGGCTCGCCCTTTTAAGATGGGCGAAGTTGGGCAGACGGCACATTTTTGAGCATTGAAGAAAACGTAAATAACTTTTAAGAAGGCGAAGCCCTTTTAGAATACTTCTTGGGCATAGGGAATCGAAATTCCATGCGTTGTTGCAAATCAAGACATTTTTTGAACTTCTGCTCCCCATGCCAGCGTTTCCCTGCCCCCCCCCCCTCCCCCCCCCCCCCCCCCCCCCAAGGTGGCGTTCTGAATCCGTGTTTGCGCTCAACACGTTCGTACTGCAAGGTCCATGCATGAAGCATGCCATAACATGGCGACAATGATCCCTACGTGTGTTCTGCATTGCGTCACTATTAAAGGTGACGGTCAATAGTGTACAAAAATACTTGAGATTCCTCTGTCCAATTACAAAATAAAATACAATGTTAAATTTCATGGTTAGTGGGAAGTTGGCTGTTTGGTGTAACATTTCGGGTTCATGATTCACGTATATCATTATGAGGCCGCAACTAAATCATCAGCAGCCGAGTGATTACGAATAATTTTAGTCTAAAGTATGACCGAAGTACCTATACACAGAATTGCCCAAACTACCATGGTGTACCACACAGTACACGAAATTCAAGTGCTTCGCGGTTTCTGTTCCTAAGGTAGTTCAGTAGGCTGCATTCAAATCTGAACTGAAAATATGCTTTTTATTTGCACCCGTTCCTGGATATTGTATGGCGTACGTTTTATAATTTTCACTGTTCAGCCCTCTTCACAAACTCACAGCTGTGTAGCTAGTAAGAAAAACCTGGTAGAAACCCTGCTTTCCGTGTTTTGCGCCAAACCACATTTATTGTAACAAGTTACAGAAACAAACATCGACTGTGGCCGCAGGGCCCTTCATTTCAAACTGAATCAAGATCCTTTGATGAAGCAGTGAAATAGGTCACGTATGCCCTAACTGCGTTAGCGGTTCCCGTAAGCAATTCCATGAACTCTTTCTGTTTGCCCAACCCACCATGTTTGTTGTACTCGTTAGGGCCAGAGACCAGCCTAACAAGTGTTCCCGTGCCTACTCAGACCTACGCCTTACGTGCAGGCAGGCTCCGCTCCCTGTGAACGTGAGCTCGCGGGATGACAACTGGCACCGCAGTGACCGTAATGTCTCTGTGGGATGGAGAGGATGTGGTTCAGACGGTGGGGCGCTCGGCTTAGATTCGTGAGGTCTGACCACCGGTGTCTCCACCCTATCTTATCGATCATGTCGGCAAACAATCCGATCCGGTGGTTGGGATGCCCTTGTCCACCTTGTTCGTGCCAAGCAGGGCCACGTCTGCTGGGGTTTTAGGCAGCGTGCAGCTTCCGTCACGGCCGTTCCGTGTCAGGCTAGCTCTCTTTGGTCAGTTACCGGCTCACCTTTCGAGGTCAGTCGTGCAGAACAGCACGGCCTGTCGGTTACCGGTATCCAATGTCGCTGCATTAGGAGCTCAGCATCCTTCCACCAGGCCACGGCAAGCACGGGTGCTGGTAACGCTTTGTCACTTCCCAAGCTCTCCAAGATGAGCCGGCACATGTCACAAATGTTGGGGCAGTCCGGAGCGGCTAACAGATTCCGACAATCTAGTGTAAATAAGCTAAATGTCAGCCTTCCAAGTCCGGGCAGAGCCCAGCTTGTCCTCCTCCCTCCCCCCGCTCTCCCCCATGAATCGGCTAAATTATTTGATGTTATTATTCGCAGCGAACAGGTTGATCGGTGGGCATTTCGTGGAGTTACCGTAAATAATGAGAGGACACAATATAAACAAAAGCGGTTGAAACGTCCCAGTTCCATGATTTGCGTGACATGTCAACACACAACAACAGACGTTCCGCAACTGGCTTCCGGCTATAGCATCGCTTGCCGACGGATGAACTAAGAGGGACATCTCACCATACCACAAAACTGTACCATCCACAGTCACTCTGCGGCATTAAGTCATGATCATGCAAAATGTATCACGGTCGGGGAGAGCAGCACGTCAGTTTGGCGCATACGCTGCACTGGACAGGTGTCTCTTCAGGTGGCGGCTAAACAGCAGCGCATTCGCCACACCAGACGGGTGTCTTCTTCGGTGGCGGCTAAACAGCAGCGCATCCGTTGCACCGTACAGGTGTCTCTTCAGGTGGCGGCTAAACGGCAGCGCATCCGTTGCACCGGACAGGTGTCTCTTCAGGTAGCGGCTAAACGGCAGCGCATACGCCGCACCGGACAGATGTCTCCTCAGGTGGCGGCTAAACAACAGCGCATCCGTTACACCGGACAGGTGTCTCCTCAGGTGGCGGCTAAAAGCAGCGCATCCGATGCACTGGACTGGTGTCTCCCCAGGTGGTGGCTAAACAGCAGCGCATCCGTTACACCGGACAGTGTCTCCTCAGGTGGCGGCTAAACACAGCGCATCCGATTACATGGACTGGTGTCTCCTCAGGTGGCGGCTAAACAGCAGCGCATCCGTTACACCGGACAGGTGTCTCCTCAGGGGCTGTTACTCGGCCGGCAGCACTTAACATTGTGTCAGACCCCGCCGGCGGAAACGCCATGGGTCAATGCCTGATAGATAAAGTCGTTAACTCTCAACTGTTAACACACCGTTTTTGGCAGGCAACGGTTACCATGGCAACCAACCTCGCAAGTCGGCGGTGGAGCGGCTGAGATCAACGCAGCTAAATTTGAAGAACCGGCCGGGCACGGGAGAGTACTTGCAGCACGAGTTCCACGCACACATTGGGGAATGGCGCAAGATCCTTGACCTGATGAAGAACCACCAGCTGCGCCGACACTTCTTCATCGTCTCCTACATGTGGTCAGTGTCGTCTCAGCATGGGCTGCCGGGGGTCTCACTGTGCGCCACTTTCAGCCTTTGATACTTTCAGTTCTCTTTCTCTGACTTCTTTCAACAACAGATGATGCAACTACGGTGACGTCAGTGTCCCTTGCCGTAGTCACGGATGGCCAAGGGAAATACTTTTTTGAAGCCACAAAGTGCCAGTAAGTGGGGCAGCCAAAAACAAGTTAAAAGTCGGTTTTTTTCGTGCGTCTGCTTAGGGTTAGAGTTCAGCATATTTGTAAAGGGGGGTTGCCATGACATCCACAGACTCCCCCATACCCTGTTAATCTTAGTTTACCCGTAGTATCTCCACGTGATCGGCGTGGAGTATCGTAGTTTAGTTTAGTTTAGTATCGTACTTAGTTTACCCGTAGTATCGTAGACAGAGCGACACTCCGATGCCGAGTGGTGTTCCAGTTTTGATGGGGACTGCTTCGCCCCTGCTTCACCTCAGTGCAACACACGCATTGCCAATGCAACATATGTTGGCCAAGTCCGGTGAATCCCCTGATCTTTCGCTGCAAACGTCAGTGCATCAGGAAGAAACGCGCGGCTTCGGAAGCACGCAAACACGATGGGGTTCGTGGCAGATGTCAAGGTTGAACTTGAACTGGCTTAGAGCAAAAGCCATTTCGGGGATCAAGATTTACGGCTGTAACACAACTGGTATATTCATCTACCGTTAGGTTTCTTGAGATTTCTTTCAGAGTCCTTAAGCTAGGGCCGTCATGACTTATCTTTCACACGCAATGAGCATCATTTCATCCTGACAAGCATATCATAGTACGTCACGTGCCTGTACGGCACCGTACACCGTACATGTCACCAACCAAGCTCCACACGGAGGCAAGCAGGCCGCGCCCCCGCAGAGGATCCGTTCTCTGACCCCGTACCCCGCGTGAGGTCGAGAGTCGGCCCAGCGCGCCCGGGTCTTCCATCGCTCGGACGCCACGGCTCTTTCTTGCTCCGCTTTTTGCACGGCGGCCTGGCCCGCGCTAGCGGTGACAGCTGTCCGTGCTGTGTCCTGGCTCTCAAAGCACACGCGGTCTGCGCTGCGAACTGTCCATTTTCCCACCGCCAGAGAGGTTTAATGTCGCACGTGGGAGGTCCCGGCGCCGTGTTTCACGAGCCGAGACGGCCTGAGGGGCCCCTCCCGGCTGTTGACATTGGCGGTGTGTTGACGGAAGTCGTCGGCTCGCCCGCGCTCGTCCAAGCTCGTCCGCGTCTGTCAATAAGCCGCCGTTCGTATGTCGACGATCTTCCGAGGCTCGTGCCAGCGAGCCGCGCAGAGCTAGACGGGCGCGGTGAAGCTGCCAGCGACCCCGAGCGATTCTTGTACCGCAGTTCCGGCGCTGGGCATCAAACGCTATCGGCACATAGGGGCACCGACGCCCGAGTAGACTCTGTAGCAGGCTGACCGGGCCGAACCGTCAGTGTTCCTCACTGGCACGGCCACGGTGCCAGACTCGCGCAGCCGACCGGAGGACTGCAGATCAGGCTCGACGGGTGATGGACGGGGTGCCGGTCTGGTCGCACCATCAGTGTTCCTCACTGGCGCGGCCACGGTGCCAGACCCGCGCAGCCGACCGGAGGACTGCAGGTCAGGCCCGACGGGTGATGGACGGGATGCCGGTCTGGTCACACCAGCCGGAAATAAGCAGAGCGGAGGCGGCCGCTCGGTGTTGGCGGCTGGTCGTACAGCGCGCGTGACACCCCAATCTCGCCATTGTGTCAGCGGTGTAGCGGGACGGCTGTGCCCGCAGACTGACCCGATTCGCCGTGTTGAGCGGGGCCACGTGTCAGCAGCTGTCTGGGACGGATGGTTTGATGTGTTTACAATGGTACTGGTGCGTAGCTCTGGGCCAGAGCGCTTGTTAACACTGGTAGATGTAGCCGTTACCCGAGGTGTGTCACTGCAGTTCGTCAGATAAAGTGTCGTTTCCCAGCCTTTAGTTTAGTGAGATAAGACTACGAAACCAGTTTCCGTGACATACAGCACTACAACACGTTTGTGATGATCTTTACCAGGAACAAAACATATGTACTCATATGGGATAAGTAACGGATTGGGTTTCGGACAGATGTTGGAGATAATTGCGGGTAGGAGGCCGAACGATATAATGAAGCGCGAAGGTATTACGAAATATGTCAAGAACGTGAGCCAATACGTTCTACACAATTTACTGTTCATGCTTTTGTAGTTGTAATTACTTAAAATCAGACTATTATTGTAATTATCACACTCAAAGTGAAGTTTGAACGTTAACTTTTGAAACGCTTCCAAGGTATAGAAACAATGTGTTGGACAAATGCGAACGGGTAGGCAACGGCCGACGGGTGGGTACAAGGGGTTTGGAATGGCTAGCGGGTGGGTACAAGGGGTTTGGAATGGCTAGCGGGTGGGTACAAGAGGTTTGGAATGGTTAGCGGGTGGGTGCGGACAGCCGCTTCTGGTTGGCGTAACGAGTGGGTAAAAGAAACAGATTATCGCGAAGGCCTGTACTTGTATGCAGTTTGTCTTGCCTGCCTCCACAACGCCGACTTAAAAGAGATGGATTGTTGGTTCCGGAAGATGAGGATTGTGTCCCTGAAGACTGTGAAAGAATGGCTCTCTCTGGACGCTGCTAATGTGAAGTTTTCTGACCTTGGCGGTGTTGCGAAACCTACACTCCACCTCACCCAAGGCTTGATCCTGTACCCAGCCATGGCACAAAGGTAACGCTCATCTCCTTGTTTGCGCCGCAGGATCTTTCGAACGTCAGGTAGCAAACACCGTGGCTTTTTAGCACGGGAGTATTGTCTGTCCATCTGTATCCCAGGAGCACACAGAGAGCCGCTGCGATGAAAGCGATGGTGGGACTGTGACACGGGAGGAGGGGGTGTCAGCCCTACGCGGGTGGGCTGACGCCCCATGACACGTGGGAGGGGTGTCAGTCCTAGTGTACCACGCGGGCGGGCTGACGCCCCATGACACGGGGGGAGAGAGTGTCAGCCCTAGTGTACCACGCGGTCGGTCTGACGCCCCATGACACGGGGGGAGGGGTGTCAGCCCTAGTGTACCACGCGGTCGGTCTGACGCCCCATGACACGGGGGAGGGGTGTCAGCCCTAGTGTACCACGCGGGCGGGCTGACGCCCCATGACACGTGGGAGGGGTGTCAGCCCTAGTATACCACGCGGACGGGCTGACGCCCCATGACACGGGGGGAGGGGTGTCAGTCCTAGTGTACCACGCGGGTGGGCTGACGCCCCATGACACGGGGGGAGGGGTGTCAGCCCTAGTGTACCACGCGGGCGGGCTGGCGTCCCGTGACACGTGGAGAAGGGTGTCATTCCCAGTGTACCACGCGGGCGGGCTGACGCCCCATGACACGGGGGGAGGGGTGTCAGCCCCAGTGTACCACGCGGGCGGGCTGACGCCCCATGACACGGGGGAGGGGTGTCAGCCCCAGTGTACCACGCGGGCGGGCTGATGCTCCATGACACGTGGGAGGGGGTGTCAGCCCCAGTGTACCACGCGGGCGGGCTGACGTCCCGTGACACGTGGAGAGGGGTGTCAGCCCCAGTGTACCACGCGGGCGGGCTGACGCCCCATGACACGTGGGAGGGGGTGTCAGTCCTAGTGTACCACGCGGGCGGGCTGACGTCCCGTGACACGGGGGGAGGGGTGTCATCCCCAGTGTACCACGCGGGCGGGCTGATGCTCCATGACACGGGGGGAGGGGTGTCAGCCCCAGTGTACCACGCGGGCGGGCTGACGTCCCGTGACACGTGGAGAGGGGTGTCAGCCCCAGTGTACCACGCGGGCGGGCTGATGCTCCATGCGGCGCTATCAATAAACGATGAAAATTCGTGTGACGGTGAGCCACCTTCTGTATGCATGCGAAGGCCCGTGGCCCCCGCGCATTAGAGGTGCGGGTTTTGAGACCGCACCACCGGTGGAGAAAGTCGTCACTGAGCCCGCACCGGCGCCATCGCAGCGGTGTATTTGACGGGAATGCTGTGACTCTGCTCATGCCGATGCCGTTGGTTTGCATTTCGTACACGGAACCAGCGCAGGAGTGCTGGCTCTAGACCGGCACCCACGCTGATACTGGTGCGGCGCCAGCATCACGCTAAGACGGCACGCAGCTCCAGCGTGCAGAGCCGGCTAGCAGGGAGCGCTGCGGCGGACGGTGGGCAGCTGGGCTCGGCGCTGTAGGTGCAGAGCCGGTCCGACGGCCTCCCGCCGCTCATCCGACTTATCCCCGCCCCTGCCGGCAGTCACGGAGCACGCAGCGGCGGTCAAGGCCTCCCGGATGCCGGCTAACGTGCCGCTGTTCATCCCGAACGCAGCGTCGTCCGCGCTGGCTTCCAGCTTCGCCAAGTTCGCCTGTTCTGTCACATGGCTCAGGGTGGGAGAGGTGGGTCCCGAGCATCCCACTGCCGATTTCACACTGGATGTAATGCTGTAGAAAATCAATAACAATGCGGTATTTTCGTGTACGATCAAAACGTCTGGCTTGAAACTTTCGTTCAGGTCATGTTACGTCATCCCTCACGTTGTCATGATCATGTGTCGCTGACCCGCAGATCAGTGTCAGACATGATGGAGTCCCTTTTATGCTATCTTTGGGTGGCTTTGCGTACATCCCCCAGGTAAAGCTGACGCAAACCAAGGTATATCACCATGTACATCCAAGCGGCCACACGATGATACCTGAGGGCATTCCTGCACCTTCAATGACCTTTACTTTCGTGATCTTATACTTAACATCTCTCTGTACGACGGAACTTGTACGCTATGGATGACTTACTAGCCTTTTTAGGCGGCTTTTAAGACTTACCCAGACGTGTCGTCCATCACCTGGATTGGCTCTTACATCACATTTGACATTTATCAGCTGTATGGTCCATGTTGTGGCTCATTTGTGGATTGCGTTCACATAATCTGCCGGATTTTGCCCCTGACGTGGCCTTAGCTTTTAATGAGTTTGG